TGTGATTTTGTCCACTTTAGAACATATAGGAGAATAGTAGCCAGGCATGGTGGCACACAACTGTAATCCTAGGGGCTTGGGAGGCTGAGGGAGAAGAATTGTGAGTTCAAAGCCAGCCTCAGCAAAAATAAGGCGCTAAGCAACTCAGTGAGACCCTTCCTCTAAATAAAATACAAAACAGGGCTGGAGATGTGGCTCAGTGGTCAACTGCCCCTGAGTTCAATATCCAGTACCAAAAAAAAAAAAAAAACATATACAAGAATATTTGTAACATCTTTATCTATAATAACCCCAAAGTGTAAATAACACGAAGGCCAATCAATGGAAAAATGGTCAAATAAATTGTTGCATATTTATATGAATACATATCTCACAGTGATGAAAAAGAATTAACTATGTAACAACATGAATGGATCTTACATTAATGTTGAATGGAAAAAGCCAGATGTTTTTCAAGACCTCTTGTACAACATGGTGACATTAGTTAATAATAATGTCTTGTATATTTCAAAATCTTTAAAAGAATAGACTGGAGTTGTGATTCAGTGGCAGAGTGCTTGCCTCACACATGTGAGGCACTGGGTTCAATCCTCAGCACCACATAAAAATAAGTAAACAAAATAAAGATATTGTGTCCATGTATAACTAAATTTTTTTTTTCAAATAGACAATAAATGGTGAATATTTACTGGGAGAGGACAGGAATGAGATTTCTAGAGCACTAGAAATAGTAGTCCCTTTTGATGTTAGTACTTACATGGGTAAACACTTTCATAAAATTCATCAATTAATCCATCACTTAAACATTATGACCATTATACTACACCTAAAATACCCATCACTTTTACAAAAGAAATGTCTCCAGGCCAAAAACTATAAAATAAAAAAAAAAATCTCCAGCTATATGCAACTTATGAAAGATAGCACAACAACATAAATACTCAAAAAGATTGAATATGATATGATAGAAAAAAGTTAATTCAGGCAATACCAACTAAAATAATGTTGTTAAATTTATGCTAATATCAGAAAACGTATACTTAAAGGTAAGAGAGAAAAGCTGAGTTGCCACATTAAGTTCATAACATTTTCTTTCTCTTTTGAGAGGTGAAGAGGTCATTTACTGTGTTGTTTTGTTTTGTTCTGACTGAGTTCAGAGAAGCAAGAAAAAGTGTGAGCCTAGATGGGAGAGAGAAGACAAGAAAAAATAGGTGTTTAGAATGAAGAAGACTTCAGAGGTAGAGCCAAGTAAGATAAGGAAATTTGCAGAATGTAGTTTCTCATCTTGGTAATTGAACACACGTCTCTACTGGAACCTTTCATTATGGTGTCTTGACAATCATAATCATACTTTTCTAAGAAATTTGTGGACTAGATGAGCCAGAGTCTTAGTGGGACTTCCCAAGACCTGAGCACTCAACCGTTAGAGCCTTATTATATGTTTTGCTTCTGAAAATAATTACTTGAACAAAAAGTTTCCAGCAGGGAATTGAAAGAATTGTTCTTCCTTGAAGATAAGACTTGTGAATGCCCCATAGAGGAGGCAATTGAAATGTAATGAGGTGAAAATGGATTATGCTCTCACTTTTATGTCACAGGAAGAAAAAGTTCTCTTTATAGGAAATTAATTCACACTTTCACATCCTTCAGAATGGATTCAGAATGGAGATATAGGCAAGCTAAAAGTAGGAAGAAATTTTATTTGGTCACTCAGTTTTAACCACTTAGTCTTTGTATAAGGTTTTTTCCTGTGTGTCTGTGGTTTGGGTAAGAGTTTAGTATGTGAAAAACACATAATGTTTTCCCCAGCAACTTAAAATCAAGTCCAAAATGTCAGCACATCAAAAAATAGAAGGCAGACTATAATAATTTCTTTTTAGATAAGTTTTATTGTGTATATTCAAGATATGCAACATGATATTATGAGATATGTATGTAGTATAATAGTTACTATAGTGAATCAAATTAACATATTCATCATCACACATGATTGCCCATCCCCCTCGTGGCAACTATAATCTACTTATTTAGCAAAAATCCTGAACACAATACACTACTATCAATTATAGTATTTGGGTTATACATTAGATCTCTATATTTGTTCACCCCACATATCTCCTACTTTGTATCCTCTGATCTGCAACTCTGCATTTCCTTCAGCAACCTGCCCCTGTTTTACTCTTTCAGTATATTTGGCTTTTATTTAGATTCCACATGTGAACTCAAACAATATTTTTCTGTCTTTGGCTTATTATACTTAGCATAATGTCCTCCAGTTTCATCCAGGTTTGGCAAATGGCAAGGTCTCCTTTTTAAAGGCTGAATAGTGTGTGTGTGTGTGTGTGTGTGTGTGTGTGTGTGTGTGTGAGAGAGAGAGAGAGAGAGAGAGAGAGAGAGAGATTCTTTATCCAGTCATAAGTTATTTCCATATCTTGTTTATTGTTAATAGAGACTGTATGACAGTCAGTGGCTCATTTGATTTTCACAACATTATGAAATACATATGAACATCCATTTTACAGATTGAAAGATTTAGTCATAACCCAGGCTATGTAATTTGGCCAAGGTCATAGAGTTAGTGGCACTGTTAGGATCTAAATCCTGACTGATGCCAACAACAATGTGTCTAAAAAAAATGTCATTCTGTGTTTCAAGAAAAGTACTTTCATACCCTTCCTAGTCACTCTCCTTACATTTAATACATGCAATTAGCTAGTGAACAGTACCTCTGTGTGAACTTGGGTTGTGGCTCAGTGGTAGAGCGCTTGCCTAGCATGTGTGGGGCACTGGGTTTGATTCTCAGCACAGCGTATAAATAAATGAACAAAATAAAGGCCCATCAATGTCAAAAAAATATTTTAAAAAAAGAATTCTGAGATTGCTTGGTTCTCTTTCTTCCTCTCCACACATATGCAACACGGTTTTCATGTGATTTAAATTCACTGCTCTGAGGATCAGAGTCCAACATTTGTTTCTATATTATCAGTTTACAGAGCCTCCCAACCTTGTAGCACATCAATGTAGCAATTTGCACATTGCAGCTCAAATTTCTGTGCAAAATTCCAGTGTAAAACTCTGAGACCTTCTTCCACCTTCAACTCAGTTGTACATTTCCAATACTCCCCAAAATCCCCTAATCCTTAGCATTACTGTCCATACTAATAGCCACCCTTAATGCCATAGGAGAGTCAAAGTTACTGATGTTCAGGAGACATGAAATGAGGAATGCTTCAGGATTCGGGTGGGAAGATAAGTTGCAAATGGGCAAAAACTAGGCAATTTACTCCAAAATGTTTTTTTCTTGGAATTCCTTTGTAACTCATTAATGTTTGGGTCCCAATTACACTTTGAGCTTCAAGAGGGTATGGATCATATCTACTTTGTTCACTAGTCAATATCCAGACCCTTTAACAATGCCTGACACATAGTAAATGCTCAATAAATATTTGTTGAACGAATGAAGATGATGATGATGGGGAGATGAGACTCAACAAGAATTCAAGCTTAGATGATGGAGAGACTACAGAGGCTAGAAAGACACAGAAAATAATGAGTTTAAATTTTAGAATTATGAGGTTAAGAAGCTAGTAGCGCATTCTGGTGTTTCTCTTCGGTAAAATCCCACATGCGTAATTGGAGCTCAGATTCGAGGTCAAGGCTGGCTATTGGCTGCTCTGGTGCATTAGCATAGGAGTAGCAGTTGAGATCACGTGGGAGGAGGGCGACTTTTAAAAGTGGGGGCCGCCCGGATGTGACGCCAGTCAGAAGCCTGCAGAGAGGAAAAAAGGTAAGTGAAGCAGCAGTAGCCGTTAGAGGTCGACTAACAGGAGTAAGAGAAAGGTCAGGAAGCAGAAATATGAGAAAATATAGAAGAGATTGGCCCCAGGAAGACAGAGAAAGATACTATAGAAGGAGCTGCTATTACTGTTAGGATCAACAAAAAAGCTATTCATGTTGAGACTACTGGAGGTATTTGATTTGATAGTCCCACGAGTCACTGGTGACTTTAAGATGAGAAGTTTTAAGGAAGGGCTAAGGAGTGACAGTTGATCACTCCTTGGTAGGGTTATTATTATTACTGGTATGGGGGATTGAACCCAGGGGCAGTTAACCACTGAGCCACATCCCCAGGCCCTTTTTATATTTTAGAGACAGCGTCTCTAAAATTAGAGTCTGAGTAGCTGAGTTGCTTAGGGCGCTAAATTGGAGAGGCTGGCTTTGCGATCCTGCTGCCTCAACCGCCTGAGGCACTGAAATTACCGGCGTGTGCCGCCTTGCCCAGATTGCTGTGGTGTTTACATAACTTGAATTTGAATCTCAAGTAGTTTGTGACTTTAGATAGGATAATTACTTGTAGGCATAATATGATAATAAAATAGCATTTACCTCACAGTTACTATGAACAGTAAGTGAATATAGGTAAAAATACTTAGGGAAGTATTTTTGCATGTGGTCACTACTCAACCTTTAGGTTATTTAGTGGAATGACTAGCCATGGTGAGGAGGAACTGGATGAACTTTTCTTTTGGACATAGCGAGTGTAAAATCATTTAGTTACTAATTTTAGGCATACCATAGAGACACTACAGTTTGAGTCGATTCTTCGAGAAAGTTCCAGAACTCTAAACGGTTTTTTTTTTTTTTTTACCGGTCAGGTGCAGTATGTGCGCCTTTTTTCAAGCTCCACCCCTCTTTTCTAGGTTAAGAATCTAGTAGCCTTTCGTGGTGGTCGATCAGTGATCTTTGGCCCCGCCTCCTGGAGAAAGGAAGTCCCCCTAATTAGACGCTTTCGTTTCAGCTTAAGCCGGGGCGCGTGTTTAAAAATTGGGATACTTTTAATTTTAGTGTTCGAGACAAAGTGGATCCCCCCCCCCCCCACTTTTAAACGAAATCCAGCAAGGAAGTAAGGCAGATGGGAGGGCTCCGTCGGAACTGAAGTGAGGTAGGGCTTAAGGTTGGGACGTCGAAGCGCTTTTACAACGGACCTAGCTACTTCCGGGAGAGAATGGGCGGGTAGAAAATTGTGTGCGTTTGGCGGGTTTCGCTGCTTTCCTAAATATTTCCTCATTCTGCAGCCGAGCGAGGCAAACACGTGAGGACATAGTGACGCCGCCACAGCCGAAACATATTATCCAAGCTCCCCTAGGACCATGTCGATGGTGAGTGTGAGGGGTCCCGTCAGGACGCCTGGGCACCAGGCCTTGGGCTGCCGAGGGGAGGGACGTGAAGCCGGGTGCCGGCTGTTGATCACGTGTCAAATGGCGAATCAGGGTCTGGCCCGTTGGCCTCCGGGGCGGGACCCAATGTCTGCTGCCCGCCCCCCAAACCGCTCGTTTTCTTTCTGGTATCTGAAAGGACCTTGAGGCAGGGGAAGGGAAGGTGGATGTTCTGGTCTGTTGTTCATGGCTTACCGTGCCCTTTGTATTTTCTCCCGTTCTGAATCATTTTCGATCACCTGAAAAGGAAATGAAACTTGCGATTCATTATTTTTCACTCAAATAATAGTCCTAGCCCAGTAAATAGCTGAGGAAGGAGGTACTTAGTCCTTCACCCTCTTGCAAGAACCCCGTCAGCCTATCCGGTTTAATACTTCGTTTACAAACAGCGGTGAATGTTTAAGTAATGTGAGAAACTTTGTTAAGTGGAGCTGTCTAGTTTCTCAAGTAGTTCTTGAACCAGTTTTTTCATTGAGCAACTTTTGAGATTGGTCATACAAACGAACTCAGTCCTTTCCAAACTTATTCAGTCAACCCTCTCCCCAGCTTTAAGGCTCAAACTGTGTCATTTTAAGGTTAATGATTTATAAATTTCTGAGTCTTCCTTTCCTTAGTTGCCAAGCAAAGATTATGAATTTTTCTGCTTGAAGAGTTAAAAAAAAAATTTACTGAGCTGATTATGCCCTAAAAAACTTGACCTAAACATAGCGAAATTTTTAAAAATTGGAATCTTTTAAGCCCTAACTTTTAAAATGTCCAGATTTATGGGGAAGAACTTGAACTCTATATAAAAAACTACATAGTGGTGGAAATCATCAGCTTCTGTTTGTTTTGTGTTTTTGAGGGGTTGAATGGATGCTAATATAATTTTCTGTAATTTTTCCTGTAGGATTTTAAAATGTATGTAGATCAGGCATGTAGAGCTGCTGAGGAATTTGTTAATATTTACTATGAGACAATGGACAAAAGAAGAAGGGTAAGTGTAATACCACTTTATTAAAACACCAGGGTTTTTTTTAGAGAGAGAGAATTTTTTATTTATTTTTTAGTTTTCATTGGACACAGCATCTTTATTTTATTTTTATGTGATGCTGAGGATGGAA